TCAGTTTCAGCAGCGGCTGATGCCAGTTCCGACTTACATACAGATTCAACTTAAGAACAAACCTACAGTCCCTATCTTGTACGTAACCCGGGGACTGCCTGTAGCCTATTTTGGAAAGTTAGGATCAGGAGGATGATGTTCCCCCTTTTTATGGTTGTATGATTCAAAGACATACCCATAAGATTCTCATCTGTTGGAAACAATGTGTGGGTTAGTTGAAGGCCTTAGTTTCTGAGTATTTACTCAAGTAGTCGGTCTGGTTTGTATGGGACTAAATGCATGTGTAAGGACTCTGTATTTGTTTGCAGGCGCTATAATCTGAATCAAAATGAGGAGGGACATACTTACTCTTGCAGGAAATACTATGGGATTCATTACTCACATGTGAATAAATTCCTTCATTTCCCTGGCAGTCCTTCATATCTTTTCATTCTCAACTAGTAGCACTCTTTGTGGCAGCTAGTATCCCTGTAAATAGTAACACCAGCTCTGTACAGGACAGATGTAGCAGTACCATTACATTACTGCCATTACATGCTGGCTTATCAAAAGTCCTTTAATATTTTAACTGCTGATCCCATCAGGAGGCTGTTATGATTCGTGGTTGTTTCCTTTCTGCTGTAGGGCACATGGTGGTGGGCTCGTAATGGTCTCATTTTGCAGCCATGCACATTCCCTTCTGTAACAGCTATATCCACTGCTCTTAGGACATACTTCTCTAACCTAATATCGAAATAAATCAGCCAAATAATGAATCGTCTCTCTTTTTTTGGAGGGATATAACAAATGTTCCCTCTAATCTTTTCCATCTGTGTGGAATAATTTTGTGTACCAATGCATGTGTGAATGTGCACCACCAGTAGAAACAAAAAACCTAGGTGAGGGCACTCTGCTAATCAGCTGGGTGACGTTTTAATTTCTCCTGAGTGGCCGCTCATCTTAGGGAACACTATATATTACTTTAATCCTGGCTAGGATTTCCTTCCTTTTGGGCCCTGACAGCCAGTAATAGTAGCCATACCCATCAGTTTTCTTCATGATGATGCTTTGCTCTAGCAGGCAGTGGGGTTTAGTGACCAGTGGTTAGAATGCAGGATTGGGAGCGAAAACTCCTGGTTTCTGTTTATAGCTCTCACTATACAAATTTGGGCAAAGCTCTTTATATTCTAAGCTCCAGTTGTTATCTTTCAGTGGGCACAATATTTGCCAGAGTCTCAAACGTAAGTCTGTATTGTAGAGAGGAAAACAGGTGATGTACAAGTGCAGTTATGTTTAATATATCTGCAAGTGTTTTAAGCCCGGTCTCTGATCAAATATTTCTAAACACCATCATGGCTCTAGCTAGTCTAGGGATCTGGATCTCTCTTCCCTTCCAGAATCATAACCTTTCGTCTTCACAGCATAACTGGCTACCATTTTCATGTCTTACATGTAGTTTGTGGTCCCCTGTCCTCACTAGTATTTGTAACTGCTTTATCACAAATAAAAACAGAGACAAATAGTGTTTGAATAATTGCCAGTTTCAGCTAAAAGGCTTATATTCAGAAAGCTCTTCAATGGAGGCCTGGCATTTAATTGTAGATAACAATGTTCCTAATTACATATCTTAATCTCCAGCTGACCTGTTCTTCAAAATAGCTCCATTTTATCTCATAATGAATAGTACTGCAATGAATTGCAATTTTCTTCTCTCGTGGTGTCTGTTATATAATGTAATTTAGTGCTGACCTCTTCTGCAACCTTGTTTACAGCCTGCTGTGAAGAAATAATGTAAAGTCATGCTTTAGGAGGACGCTGAACCATGGTCAGTTAATCAAAACATACAGTAATTGTGACTGGTTCAATCGCAGAGATCCCCTTAATACTGTCACTTGATGTGCCAAAAATACCACTGAACTCGCCTATCTGCCATTTAGTGGTTCCCCTCCTCCCATCCTGCTGAGCCATAACCTCTGGTCTCCCCCAGTGATGGCACAGAGTTGGAGGACACAGCAGAGAAACACAGATCAGCTCAGTTCTTGGAAGGCTTATTCATGGGGACTTGACAGCACCTAGGTGGACAGTCCCAATGGGATCAGGACTCCAGATAAATCCATCTTATTCTGTATAAAGTTTAAACAGCGCAAGCTCATAACTTGTTTGCCCCCTTAATCAATGAGAGATGCATAGTTGTTGTTTCCTCTGCCTCCCTTCCCCCGTAGCATTTATTACCCTGGATTTATTAATAAACAAAAAGGACTTAAGTGGTTACAAGTGATAACTGACAGATAAAGTTAGTTACTAAGCAAAATAAAACGAAAGACACCAGTTAAGGCAAATACATTAAGAGAACTTGTTTAAATTAATAATTTCTCACCCTAGTTTTTATTTCAGGTTAAATTCTTCTCAGGCCAGGGATGCCATTGGTTAATGGTTCACAATCATGCTGGAAGAGCATAGCAAGTGGAGTTCCACAGGGGTCTGTTTTGGGACAGGTTCTGTTCAATATCTTTATCAACAATATAGACGACGGCATAGAGAGTACGATTATTAAGTTAGCAGACGATACCAAGCTGGGAGGGGTTGTAAGTGCTTTGGAGGAAAGGGTCCTAATTCAAAATGATCTGGACAAGTTAGAGAAATGGCCTCAGGAAAATAGGATGAAGTTTAATAAGGACAAATGCAAAGTGTTCCACTTAGGAAGGAAAAATCCATTTCACACATACAGAATGGGAAGCGACTGTCTAGGAAGGAGTATAGCAGAAGGAGATCTAGGGGTTATAGTGGACCACAAACTAAATATGAATCAACAGTGTCACACTGTTGCATTAACAGGAGTGTTGTGAATAAGACACAAGAAGTCATTCTTCTGCTCTACTCTGCACTGATTAGACCACAGTTGGAGTATTGTCCAGTTCTGGGCACCGCACTTCAAGAAAGATGTGGAAAAATTGGAGACGGTCCAGAGAAGAGCAACAAAAATAATTAAAGGCTTAGAAAACATGATCTATGAGGGAAGATTGAAAGAAATGGGCTTGTTTAGTTTGGAAAAGAGAAGACTGAGAGGGTACATGATAGCGGTTTTCAAGTATCTAAAAGCGTGTTAGGAGCAGAGAGAAAAATTGTTCTCCCTGGCCTCTGATAGGACAGGAAGCAATGGGCTTAAACCTCAGCAGGGGCAGTTTAGATTGGACATTAGGAAAAGCTTCGTAACGCAGGGTGGTTAAACACTGGAATAAATTGCCTATCTCCATCACTGGTGATACTTAAGAGCAGGTTGGTTAGACATATATCAGTGATCTAGACTAGGGGTGGAGAGTCTTTTTTGGGTCAAGGGCCACAGACCCACAGAAAAATCAGTCAAGGGCCACACACAAGTGAGAAGCAAAAACAAACCCTCACTGATGTGACCCCCGAATGAGAAGGAGAAAGACACTCCCCACATTTCCCTCACACACCGGGGTGGGGGTGGGGACTCAGGCTGCAAGTTGTTGTGTGCTCCAGCCTTGTGGGGGAGCAGCATTGGGGAGCCCTGGGGGCCAGATCCAGGCAAGCTGGAGGCTGCATCTGGCCCCTGGGCCTGTGGTTCCCCACCCCTGGTCTAGACAGTCTTGGTCCTGCAGTGAGGCTAAGGGACTGGACTTGATAATCTCTCAAGATTCCTTCCAGTTTTAAAATTTTGTCCTTTCTGAGCTGGATCCAGCAGTACTCCTCAACCCCTGGGGTTAATCTTTTTGTTTCCAGGTGTCTTCATGTATTCTTTCTGGGTGCAGAAGAAGTCTATAAAGCCAGCTGAAGACAGTCATTGTTTACTTCCTTTTCCTTATATAGAATTTCCCTGGACCTTTGATTCCATAACACCTCTGTGGAGAAGTACAAAATTCAAGATGGAGTCTAACATGAGGTGACATGGACTCAGGTCTTTGTAGCAAGTCTGATAATATACGTATAATCAA